TTTCTTTGAATTGTGCCCTTTTCAGATACTGAAATATTTAATTATTCACTGGAGGTGTGAAACAGCAAGAATATCAAAGGGAGCATTGCTAGAAGGAGAGCTAGTGATTTCCATAGAAGCATTAAATTCTAAGCACCAGGCAAATACTCTTCATTGTGTAACGACTAGTAAGTAGAGGAAGAAAAAATATTGATTTCTGTCTTTGTTTTGTCATGATTTATGTTATAGTTTATTTAAAAATTTCAATTAGTCATAATCTTTTATTATGTTATTACTCCAGAGTTGTTCCAGAATTAAACTTAAGTGATTATGAAATAAGTATCTGGTGATAGATTTACAAATCTGTCATACAGGAAAGGTGAGTAGGATGACTTATCAAAGGATTATTTATTTTACTGGTTTAAGTTTAGATTGCTCAGAAACAATCTAACTCTTGCTCTTGGTTTTAACCTCCTTTTTCATAGCTAAATTATATTACATTGAATTTTCTATCCTCTTTCGTTCATGTCCAGCCTTTGGTAGTTGGAAAAGAGCCAAAAAAAAAAAATTAAATGATGAATGGTGCGTACTTTGATAATCCTAACTTGCAGTTAATTTGAAAATATATATCTCTTCCATTTGGCTCTTACTCTTTCATCATTTTTGCCTGTACTCTTGGAAAGCTGATGCATTGAGTGGCCCTGACACAATTAATTTTCTTGAACTTGTGAAGTGATAACTTTTTTGTCTGACTGTCTTTTGGCTGTGTGTGTGTGTGTGTGTGTGTGTGTGTGTGTGTGTGTGTAGGTTTATTGAAGAATACTTTGGAATGAAGTTGTCCCATCAGCCTTAGAGGAGTCACCCTGAGTCCCAGTTGAGACTGGATAGTACTTTAGGCTCTACAAGACATTTTCTCACCTGAACTGGAATGACCTGTCTTCTCTTTGTTTACCTAGCAGTGAACATCCTCAAGAGGGATATGATAGTTTGGTTTGCTGTTACTCCACATGAACTCCAGTCTGATTAGACAGAGTTCCCACCATTCGTGAGAGAGGTGGTTAGTTACCTGGCTAGGGTGATGTTGGTCTGCATATGGTTCTCTTAGCTTGTGCATTGATTCTGATCCAGTAAACTGTGCTCAAGGTGGCAGGGTTGATTTCACTCAAAGAAAGGGACTTGAGCCACAGTAGCTTTTGGCAAGAAACTGAATTCCATAGACATTTTGAGCCTAATGGACCTCTTCAGCCCGTCTAGTATAAGGGGACTTTCTCTTCTGCTTATTGTCTCTTTATTATTTTTATTATTTTTTTGACAGGAGGAAAGGCAATACGTGCTTGTCATGAAACATTATAACATTACAGAAACATATATTATGGAAAATGAGACTCTTCAGTAATCTCATCCCTTGAGATAATTATTAACATTCAGTATATATTCTTCTAGATTTTTCTATGCATATGTTCAGAGTCTTTCACCAGGTAGATAAAAAGCCAGATTGCCAGCATTCTAGAATTGAGGGATTGGGGTGGGGGGAGTGGGGGGTGGTTGTATCTTAGCTTTCAACGTTTATGTTCACTCAATCCGTTTGTTTTTAGTACAACTTTAGTTCCCAGCCCAGAGACCCATGCTTCTATCTTTTCAAAGAATAACCTCTCCCCACCCCCTCACCAAGGTTAGGGAGGGCCAGTCCTTAGAAGGCTGAGTGGAGAAGGGAATCTAAAGATCTGACTACTTCTTAAATTCATTTTTTCAGCTGACTCTCCTTATTTTGGCTCCCACTCCTACTTCCAGAGGTTCCTAATACTGCCATTTTTGAGTCTTTGGGGATTTTGTTGTATAATTGGTGTTGTTTCTTCACCTTTCCCTTTTTTGGCTTATAATTCAATTTTTCAGGTTTTGAGTCCGAAATCCTTTCCCACTAGTCCTTCTGCTTTTCTGTTTCTGTAATTTTATTATAATCATCTTTCTCTCTTATTCTCTATCTTTGTGGGTTTATTCCTTTAAAAAATACTCCTTTTCCATTTTATTGAGATTTCAGGAGGGAGTAAAAGTAGATGTGTATGTTCAATCTGTCATCTTTACCTGAAAGTGTGGATTGGTGTCATTGGGCTAGGGCTGGGAACTAAACCTGGGGCTGCTGTAACAAAGTATCACAAACTGGGTGGCTTAAAACAAAGTAAATTTATTCTATCACAGTTATGAAGGCCAGAAACCCACAATCAAGATCTCAGCAGGGTTGGTTCCTTCTGGAGGCTCTGAGGGAGAAATCTATTCCTTATCTCTCTCCTAGCTTCTGGTAGTTGCCAGCAAGCCCTTGGTGTTTCTTGACTTGTAGATGTATTGCTCCAATCTCTGTCTCTGTCTACATGTAATGTCTTCCCTTGTGTTTGTGTCTTCACATGGCCTTCTTATGAGGGCACCAATTGGATTTAGGGCCACTCTAACCCAGTATGACTTCATCTTGATGACATTTATGAAGACCCTATTTCCACGTAAGGTCATATTCACAAGTACTGGGCCTTAGTTCTTCAAAATCTCTTTTAGAGGCACAAAATGCAACTCACAACAAACCAGAAAATTTTGTTGTTGGAATGGTCCATCTGTGAGAAGCTGAGGGATGACTATATATTAGGTTGGCCAAAAGGTTTTTTCTGTAAGATGGCTCTAGTAGTGTTTAGTTGTCTTTAACTTCATTCAAAACAATTTTGTTAGATTGTATTGTGACAGCTGTCATATCAGCGTGCATTTAGAAAAAACTTATCAAAATTGGTGAATTTTTGTGTAGCCATTTTAATATTGAAGATGAAAGAAAAAAGCAACATTTTCAGCATATTATGCTTTATTATTTCAAGAAAGGTAAAAACACAACTGAAACACACACAAAAAAATTGTGCAGTGTATAGAGAAGGTGCTGTGACTGATTGAATGTGTCAAAAGTGGTTTGCAAAGTTTCGTGCTGGAGATTTCTCACTGGACGATGCTCCACGGTTGGGTAGACCTGTTGAAGTTGATAGGGATCAAATCGAGACATTAATTGAGAACAATCAACATTATACTACACGGGAGATAGATGACATACTCAAAATATCCAAATCAAGTGTTGAAAGTCATTTGCAGGACTTCCCTGGTGGTGCAGTGGTTAAGAATCTGCCTGCCAATGCAGGGGACATGGATTTGATCCCTGGTCCGGGAAGATCCCACATGCCACTGAGCAACTAAGCTTGTGTGCCACACACAACTACTGAATCTGCATTCTAGAGCCCACGAGCCGCAACTACTGAGCCCACGCACTCTACGGCCCATGTGCCACAACTACTGAAGCCCGCGTGCAAAGAGCCTATGCTCTGCAACGAGAGAAACCACTGCAACAAGCCCGCACGCAGCAACGAAGACCCAACGCAGCCAAAAATAAATAAAATTAGAACAGAAATCATTTGCACCAGCTTGGTTATGTTAATTGCATTGATGTTTGGGTTCCACATAAGTTAAGCGAAGAAAACCTTCTTGACCGTATTTCCGCATGTGATTCTCTACTTAAACGTAACGAATGTTATGTTCCATTTTTAAAACAAATTGTGACAGGAGATGAAAAGTGGGTACTGTACAATAAGGTGGAATGGAAGAGATCGCGGGGCAAGCGAAATGAACCACCATCAACCACACCAAAGGCTGGTCTTCATACAAAGAAGGTGATGTTGTGTATATGGTGGGATTGGAAGGGAGTCCTCTATTACGAGCTCCTTCCAGAAAACCAAACGATTAATTCCAACAAGTACTGCTCCCAGTTAGACCAACTGAAAGCAGCACTCTGAAAAGCGTCCGGAATTAGTCAACAGAAAATGCATAATCTTCCATCAGGGTAACGCAAGACCACATGTTTCTTTGATGACCAGGTGAAAACTGTACAGCTTGGCTGGGAAGTTCTGATTCATCCATTGTATTCACCAGACATTGCACGTTCAGATTTCCATTTATTTCGGTCTTTACGGAATTCTTTTAATGGAAATTTCAATTCCCTTGAAGACTGTGAAAGGCACCTGGCCCAGTTCTTTGCTCAAAAAGATAAAAAGTTTTGGGAAGATGGAATTATGAAGTTGCCTGAAAAGTGGCAGAAGGTAGTGGAACAAAACTGTGAATACATTGTTCAATAAAGTTCTTGGTAAAAATGAAAAATGTCTTTTATTTTTACTTAAAAACTGAAGGAAATTTTTTGCCAACCCAATAGTTTTTCCTATCAGTAATTGTTGAAGGCTTTAACAAGTATTATTACTGCAGTGTTTCCCAAAATGTGTGCTACAGGATGTTTATATAAATTATGAGAAAGGAGTTATGCAGTCATCTAAACTTGAGGAATGCTGGTTAAAATCAAATGAGTTTTGTCACTTTAGATCTTCTCAGAACCTTTAATATGCAAGCACGGACTGTGAATCTTTAAAAATGGGCTGTAGTATATAGCATTTCCCAAACATATTTGACCTCGTAGCTTTTTAAAAAATCATCTTTTGTAAAGAGAATTTGGGGGAATGCTGTGGCTTTAAAAATATGTGTTCTGTCATCTTTGCATTTGAAGGGTAGCACTTTATTTAGTACGGAAGGATTAGAAGCATAGCTGAAAATTCGGGGTTGGGTGTGGAGCAGGCAGAATGATTGCTCTCCCTGCACATGTTCACCCAAAGTGACCCATTTTCAATAATTGTTGATATGATACTTGTTAAAACTAAGAAAGGTTGTTAGAGGGAACAGTGTGATATATGCAGTTGAGAAACATCATGGACACACTGTGAGACATACAGTTTGTGGTTTGTTTCTTGTTGATATTCTAGCTCCTTGCTAATCACTGGTGTCGGCCTGCTACCACCTTCCATCCCTGTCCCAATCACAATCACCCACTCCTTTAGGTCAGAATCAGTGTATACCTGTGAGGAACACTAAGTTTAAAAAAAAAAAAAAAAAAGATTGTTTTTGTTAAATATTCTATGCTACCTGGGCTCAAGCCTTTTGAAATATGTATCATTTATCCAGAATCATTCAAAATCTGGAGATCTAGAACAATGCTATCTGATAGAACTTTTTGTGATGATGGAAATGTTCTTTATGCTGTTCAGTACCGTAGCCATTAGCCACGCTTGGCTATTGAACACTTGAAATGTGGCTAGTGTGACTGAGGAACAGAGTTTCTCATTTGATTTAATTTAGTTAGATTTAAATAGCCTCATGTAGCTAGTAGCTACTGTATTGGATAGCACACATTTAGAGAATGGTATTGCCTCTCACCCTAGATCAGTGGTTCTCAACCTTTTTTCCCTGCCTGAAGAATACATATTTCTTGAGGGATAGACACATTTCCATTGGTTCTTGTGGCAGTGATTCTTAGATTCTTAACTGTGGGGTTGTATCATTCTGGGGGAAGGCATGTTCTATTTGGGAAAAAAGCCTCCAGGTGATTCTGATCTTTTCCCCCCTCTTAGGTGCCTGCTTCCTCCCTTACCATCTTTCCCTGAAGAATTATTGCTCTAAGTGCCGGAATGTTCAGATTTAGAACTCTAGGTACAGATAATTCTTACCTGATAGTCTAGTAAAGAGTAAATTTACTAAAGAGTAAATTGGTTAAAAGAAAGGCCAAACATTTTAATTGAATCTCATACTGGAATATGAGTTATTGGCATGATATACTCTGGTTATTAGCAAGAGTCTGTGGTCTTCCTATGATCCTTTTCTATCAGGAATAGTAATATCCAAAGAGGCAGCCCTGGTGTTTAATATAGGTAAAAAGAGTTGCTATTTGGTTCTCATCTCTAGGAAGTTATTCTGCCCCTGAACAGTTGTAGCCTCATAATACTTCTTTGGTGCCTCCATTTTTACTGAATTCATTAGTAGTGACCATCTTTTAATGTTCTGTATCTATAAACAGTGATTTCAGGCTCCCATATGATTCTTTAGATGAAATCCATTGAATTGCTTTATTTATGATACTTCTTTGTATTCTGTTTCTTACAGTTGCTTCTGCAGGAAGCATTTTTGGCGGTTTGGTCCTCAAGAAGTTCCTAAAAGGTAAAGAATTACCCAACTTCCACAAGATTAAATCTCTTCCTGTCAATAAATTTGGTATTTTCTGAAACAAATTTAACATATACTGAAAGATAGAGTTGTCAGATTTAGCAAATAAAAATACTGGACACTCACTTAACTTTGAATTTCAGATAAACAATGAATACTTTTTTAGTATTTGCATGTTCCATGCAGCAGTTTATCCTGTAATTTATCTGAAAATCCTGCTGAAAGATGATCAATAAAATTGTACAGATACAGGAAAATTGTATAGACCTAAGACAAGATACCTAGGTCACTGTAGCTTCTCTGAATACTCTGTATACAACCTCAGGCAGAATTTTCCCAGATGTAAAATTCAATTTTTAGTAAAGTATTTGTTCACATCTACCTCAAAGAAATAATATATGGAGAATGCTTTTACTATAAAAGATTTGGGCTGGTATTAATACTGTTTTCCACATGCCAAGGTTTACGGTTTAGGAGTTTTCAGTGACCTTAGTTTTAGAAGTTCTTCTTTCCTTTGATTTGAGAATAATCTAAAACCAAAGGACATACATACATTATTTTAAGGAGACCAAAATGATTTGAGAACCATTGTGCTTTCATTTTTATCTTTTATGGTTGTGTGGCTTGTAAATATTATCTAATGGGTCTGTCTTTTCCTAATGAGTGGTTAATTTACAAATTTTACAAAACAATTTTTTTAAAAGAAGCTTTCCCCAACTAATCCTGGAATGTAAATAGATTGTGGTGGGTTTTTTTTAACTTTTTATTTTATATTGGAGTACAGTTAATTAACTGTGGTGGGGTTTTTTTGACTTATGTTTGTCACTGCTTTAAGAAAATATGCTATATATTAAATATAGAAACAATCAAAAAGCTACATTAGAAGGGTATAATGTTATAAAGTAAATGTTTGTATTTATAAAGTAAATGTTTGTATTTATTTAGTAAAAGTAAATATTACTGTTGGACTTTTTCAAATAGCAGGGTTTCTTAATGCTTTTTAAAATACAATCAATTTAAAATTTTAATTTATACCCAGATTTCCAGCAACTCAATTACTGCATAAACCAAAGTACCTTCCTTTATCTTGGTCTTATCAAAGAAAAGAAGAAACTATTTTTTTGCAACTCACAATATGAAAGACTAAAGACATAAACATATAGGAAACAGTTCTACCTTTTGAAACTTCTTATTTGAAGTAATTTTTAGTTTAAGCATGGGGATTTAAAAGTGCTTGCTTGTTAATTTAAGGGTCATCAGGTGTATTCCCTTTAGCCTTTGAAATTGTCTTGGCCCTCTGAATCTACCTTCCAGCTGTCTGTACACTGGATTCCTAATAAACCTCAGCTTTTTGCTCTGTGGTCCTAATTTGTTTAGATTCTGCTTGGTGTGCACACATTTAAAAGCAGTAATTGTGGAGGAAAAGTAATAAAACAAAAAATAGAGATTTTTGTTCTTAGCTCCATAACAGATGTACTGTGGGAGCTTGGGTAGAATGTTCTCCCTGTAGTAATAATCAAAGTGATGATTTATTGAGCATTTACTGTGTGCTGAGCTTTGTGCTTGACACAGAGGGGTTACAGTGGTGAACATGATAGATTTGGTTTCTCCCCTTAGTGCCATATTTAAGATATCTTAATCATCTAATTATACTGCCTCCCAAAGCCTATGCCTGGAAGAAAGAGAGAATCAGCTTACTGTCCTGGAGAGTTTGCTGCAATTCTAAGACTTTTAGAAAATCTGAATTCAACTTTAAGAATCATGAGTTGACTGCCTCAAAATCATCTAGTATATTTATCAATCTTTAGTTCTCTTCCTTTTTGGATTATGCCACTGAGATGATGCAAAGAGTGGAAAGGCATTCTTAATGCCATTGCTCCAGTTAAATGTGTGAAGGTGCTTTAAAAGAAATGAAAATTCATAAAAATAAAAGGGAATATGTTATTAACTCTAGGGAGGAGATAGGAATATTTCCTGCAACTTAAACCTAAACTGCACAATGAGTGGTTAGATCATACATAGTGCTGCTTCTTTGTCTAATATTTGTGAAAGTGCTTTGAAAAAAGTGAAAAGCCATGTAAGTACAAAGAAATGGTTTTATTATCATTGTTAATAATAGGGAGAAGGTATTGAGTATAGTTTATGGAATAACCACCTATTTATTATGCTAATACAAACTTTAGACAGTTTGTGTCATGTTGACTTAGTTTTAATTTGTTATTTTAAAAGCTCAAAGCAATTTTGTGCATATTTATTTAGTCTATTTTCATATCCTTGTGATGAAGTGGAGGTGGCTAACTTTTTGTACAAAGAGGAAGTAGTGTACATCAAATACACAATAAAAATTGAGTCATTTGCTCATAGTCAATCACATTTAGTAACCAACTTTAGCCTGTCTTCTCTCTAGCTGTTAGGGCTCATGATATTAACTTCCACTTAATAATGCTATTTATTCTTACTAATTAGTAACAAAAATGACTCAGTGAAGCTCACAAAGGAAGCTGTCCAAGACTAAGATTTGAATTCCTTAGCTCCCTGACTTATGTACCATTAATTATGCCTTTATTACTCTTGTTACTTATTTAGCATTCCTATAACATTATTAGCAAACTGCTTTGAATTGGTCTATTCACAAATCTTTACACTATGTAATTAACTTCATCAGGAAGTCTGGTGGCTGATTCATTAACCATCAGATTTCCCAGTGCTAAAGAATTATGTATCTGTACAAAATTCATATGCCTCTGAATTCAGTTTGTTAGCTCTGTCATCCTCTTCATTGCTCAGTTGATTTCTCTCAGTGCCTAAAAAGAGGTCTGCCCTCTCTTTAGGGGAACTGTACTGTTGTAGAGCCATCCAGCTTCAGTTTTCTTTACTCTTCAATCTATTCTACCAGAGTTGTATCAAGGTACTTTTTCTCTGGATCTGGACCACTTCAGATCAGTTCCTATACAAACAGGCTCATATTTCTGGGTGTTTTATTTATGCTGGATAAATAAATGATGACCAAGATAATCTCCCTGTTTTTCTACCTCTAACGGTTTATGTTCTTTTTAAGTTTTCTTTTGTCTGTGGTACCTAACTGTTTGAACTTTTGTCCAGTAAACCTTTATTGAACCCTCTACCTTGCCACAAGAAAGTTATAGTGAGAGGTACCTCTGAAAATAAAATACAGTGTGATAAGTACCATAGTGCTTCTTTGGTAACACAGAGGATATTCCCTAAAGTTCAGTCACCAATATGCCTTTCTTCCCTTTATCATTCTGCATCATTATTCTACGTTTACTTCAGATATCTTCTGCTTTTAAGGCTTTAACTTTTATTTCTATGTTGATGAGACATTTTTTTGTCTCTATCTCTAATGTGTTTCTAGCTTTGATTGTCAATTGGACTATTCCATTTGAGGGTTCCTCTGGAATATCATGTGTAACATGTCTAAAATAGGGTTCATTTTCTTAAACTAACTTGCTGTGTAATCTCCATTCCTTTCAGTGATACTAACATTTTCATAATTCTCCAGGCTTAAAAGTTTTGGCTTTTTTTGAGGGGAAGGGGAGGCTTCTCCTTTTCTTTTCTCCATTATCTAATGTAATTGAATTTTTGGTTAATTTTGCTTTTATAGTGTAGAATTATTATTTATTAAATTATTTATTAATTTAAACACAGCTTTATATTCCTCCCTTAATGACTCCCAATTGCTTATTAGAATAAAACACCTCAGACCCGATTTGAGGTACTCTGTCGATTCGAATAATCTTCTGCACTTTGAAGGATGATGCTCATTAAGATAGATAAATTCTTATGTGTTTAAAAATTCTCATTCCTTTATATTAACATATGTACTACTGTTCTGCATCATATAGTTATCCATTTATGTAGAAACCATTTACATATTCATTTGTTATCCATTTATGTAGAACTAATTCTATCATAAATATCTATTTGGTGAAACGGGATAGTTTTAGCTTGTCCTTCTTGCCCAGATCTAGAAGCTACTTCCTAACATGTCCTTACTTTAGTGAAGAAAAGAAGGAAAAGAAAGGGTAGAAGAGAGTGATGAGATGGAGGAATATGAAAAAAGCCATATATATATAGGTCTTTATTTATTTCACTGTTTTTTTTTGTCTCTCCTAGTCATATTATTTTTACTTGTTTTTTAATCTTATTTTAAATATCTCCTCATTCCCATGTTTATTGACATAATTTAACGCTTTACTAAAATACAGTTTGGCCAATCATTTAAAAAAATGTTCATGTATTTTTCCCAAGTAAGAAAATTTACAACTTTGTTTTCTTCAAAGGACTAGATAGGAGTACCAACCCTTGAAAGTGGGGAAGACAGTTTTGCTGTTGATGTATGGTTACATAGTTATGATAGTTCAGCTTTTGCCTCCAAAATGGCATCAGGGAGATTTAAAAAGAAAAATATTTAGTTTTGTCCCTTTTGTTAATTTGTTGGGAATGGAAGTCAGGAGTTGTGCTTTTCATACATTAGAGAGATTGATGTGTCCAGGCTTGCTCAACATTGAGTGAAAAACTCACAATGGTGAGCTCTTGGATGTCTGACTTAATATATGTTTTTAAAATCTGAGATGCTCATAGTCAAAAATTTTAAATCTATTATAATTTTCTATCTTACAAGATCAACAACTCTAAATCTCACTACTTATCTAACACTTTTTCTCCTGGGAGCTTGTTTTGTAGACATGACCTCATTCTCGAGAGATAGGTCAGACGTAAGTTATCACCATTTCTGTTTCAGAGATGAGGAAACTGAGACTTACCTCAGTCTCCGATATTAAGTTTAGAAGTAAGGGAAGAGCTTGGGGACTTAGGTCATTGGTTATCCTGTGAGTCCACACTTAACCCTCACGCTTTTGATACATTCTAAATAGTCTCTTGCTGCTAAGTTTGCATAACACATGGAAAGATTTTATAAAGAGAAGATTGACTGAAGATCAAGAGAAGTTAAAATAAATGAATTTGTCTTCTTT